GCTCCTGTTCTTGAATTTTAAAAGAATTTGACTTGTTTGAAGATGCTTTCTGAACAATTAAAAAAAATTAGGCCTACAGGGAACGCAGCTCTCTCTGCAGATGTTTGCAGTGTATAACGGAGTGTACACATGCAATACAAACAGTAGTAATAATAATCACTAATGCTTCCCAATACCTTTCTACATCTCAGGCACTATTCTAAGTATTTTGACATGAAAAACATCATTTAATCTTCACAATTCCGTGAGGTCGATATTATAATTATGTCCACTGGCAGAAGAGGAAACTCGGGTAGAGTGAAATTAGGCAACTTGCTCAAATACATAGAGACTAAGTTGCAGAATCCAGATTTAAACCCAGCCAATCTGACTCCCATGTTGCTCTTAACCAGTCCTTCCTAGTAATAATATTAATGGAGCTAGGTGGCTTCCATCAATAATCTTAGCTTCTTGGAAGGGCAAGAGCAGGAGGATCATGGTTCAAGGTCTGCCCAGGCAGAAAAGTTCGCAAAACTCCTTTCAATCCGTAGTTGAGTACAGTCATATACACCTGTCATCTAAGGCTACATGGGAGAAATAAGAATAAGAGGATTTGGAAGGGGAAACAAAGGAGGAGGCTACAATGCTTGATAAGAAATGTACTCATTATCTTGCCCATGTAATTGTAACCCCTCTGTACAGTATTTTCACAATAAAAAATTATATAAAAAAAAGAATAAGAGGATTGCCAGGCATCAGTGGCTCATGCCTATAATCCTAGCTACTCAGGAGGCTGAAATCTGAGGATCACGGTTCAAAGCCAGCCCAGGCAAAAAAGTCCGCCATACTCTTATCTCCAATGAACCACCAGAAAATTGGACGTGGTGCTGTGGCTTAAGTGGTAGAGTGCTAGCCTTGAGCTGAAGAGCTGAGGGACAGTGCTCAGGCGCAGAGTTCAAGCCCCACGACCGACCAAAAAAAAAAAAAAGGCCAGCTAGAGTTTTTGAAATATCCTCAAAACTCTTCGATGAAAAGAAGCTGGACTCAATGGTATGCATGTGGTCCCAGTGATGACAAGAGGCCTAAAATGGGTTGATCACAGCTCAGGCTCACCCAGGAGGGAAACAAAACACTATCCTAACATAATCAGTGCAAAACAGGGCTGGAGGCATCGCTCAGTGGTACCCCATCAGCCTAACAAGCAATGTAGGCTCAGAGTTCGGTCAACGCTACTACAAAATGTTCAATATAAGACTGATAAGTTGATAAGTTCTTTGTCCCCCAGTTTAGAGGATCTCGTTCTCTGTCTCCCTGTCTCTGTCTCCCTGTCTCCGTCTGTCTCATTCTCTGCTATTTTCTGTCTCTGTCTGTCTGTCTCTCGCTCTCTCTGTCTCTCTCTCGCGCTCTCTATGTCTGTCTTTTTTTCCACTCCTCCAGTTCAGCATTTTGCTAGCTCATTGGAAATGGAGTCTCAAAGACTTCTTTCCCTGGTTTGGCTTCAAACTATAGTCATTCAGATTTCAACCTCCTGGGTAGCTAGAATTATAGATATGAACCACCAGTGCTCAGCTAGAGGTTTTGTTTTGATTTTTATATGTCTGGGACAAGCAGAAAAGATCAAAAGCTATGTACATATGACCAGATAAGATGATGTTAAGCAACATGAACCCCAAGATAGGGACACAAGTGGTTTTTTTTTTCTTTCTTGCTATTGTTCCTAACGTATTTTATAAAGTACCATGTGATTTTTTTTGTTTCTTTGTATGCTCCTCCCCCACTGTACAAGTCCTGTATCTGATGTGGGTGCCCTGCATCTTGTATATACACTTCTCTAGCTTGGGGACGGGGAAGGAAAAACCAAAATGCTTAAATAGGGATACAGGTTGACCTATTTATTGTAACAAAGAGATGTACAAGACACTATGTTGAAAAATGAACTTTATAATTTAGGAAGGGGGGAAGAGGGAAGTGTGGTTGTGGAGGTAGAAGGGAAGGTATGGTAGGGGACAAACAAAGGAGGAGGTAACAATGCTTGACAGGAAATGTACTCATGACCTTGCTCATGTAACTGTAACCCCTTTGTACAGTATTTTTACAATAAAATATGTATTTTTTTAAAAAGAATCACATAGAAAAACCTATCCCTTCAAAAACAAAAAAGAAACTCATGTCATATATGTGTGGGTCAGTCATTTGGTTACTCAGGTTTTTAACAAGGCCTCACTCCTTCAAATTGATAGAAGAAGTACTGGATTGTGGCAAACACACACACACACACACACACACACACACACACACACATTACAACATACTTAGAAACAGTGCTTAAATTCGCATCACTTTAAGAGCTCATTACCAACTAAGCAAAAGTGAAATACTTGACATTTTGGTATCTGTGATATTAAGAAAGAGCTAATATTTAATATTCAAGTGGCAATAGCTTGTTGAGTTTGCATACAACACCCACAGGGGTGGATCTTTCTGTAAACGGCCTCTGGGAGACAGCCTTGCGAACACCAACCCTGCCTTGCCCACAGACCCTCCTCCTGCCGGCACCACGGGGCTCGCGTGGAGCACAGCCGCAAACACGCCGCGTCTCACTGCAGGATTCATCTTTGTAAACAATAGCAAATATGGAAAATGAAGAAAAATGTAATTTCCCCTGGATCAACCTCGGTGTCATCTCTGTTTCTAAACATGAACAAGTATCTGTGGAGGGCTTTCTCCATCTGCCTTCTGAGGCTTCTCCATCCACTCTCGTTGAGGAGAGAGGAATCATCCCTTCCCTAATTGATGGCCAGTTATCTCACACCTGTGCCAAGACCGAATAATGACAAGTATTCTGTTGCCTGGCACTGTTCCAGGATGACTAATTGTCACAGTAGTAATTTACTCACCTGTGGAATCGTCAACTTCCCTTGACTGCTGTCAAGAAGATGCATAGTAATGGCATCAAGGTTTTTAGACGTGGAATACAAGGAAATATTTCGCTTATCTTCCAACAGAAAGAGTTCAACAAGGCACACATTAAATGACTATAAGTGTTCATTGCTAGGGTTAAAAACAACATTCCTGGTCACGTATGTATTTGTATAGTAGAAAAACAGAAAGCAAGTGAACCAATCTTTTCTGATTGAGAAAAAAAAGATTACTGATTACCTAATTAAAGCAATCTAAACTTGTCTGTGATATTCTTTGCTTTAGCTAATCCAAAACTTGTTTCTTCAACTGTATGGTTTATAGCACTTTTTATATGTTTTTTATTGTAAAAATACTGTACAGAGGGGTTACAGTTAGATTAACAAGGTCAGGAGTACATTTCCTATCAAGCATTGTTACCTTCTCCTTTGTTTTTCCCCTACCATCCCTTACTCCCACCTCTACAACAGCACCCCCTCATCCCACCCCAGCCCCCCCCCCCGTCTAAATGGTAAAGTTCTTTTTTCAACATAGTGTCTTTTTTTATTTTTGTTAATTTATTCAAGAAAATACTTCTATTTCAAATAGAATACAAAATGTATTTTGGTTGTTTTTGTTTTTTTTTAAGAAATGTAGCAACATTTAGGAAGGGTATAAAAGCAGATATAACTTAAACTTTGGAAGCTAGTAAACTTGGACTCTGATTCCTGGATTTTTAAGTTAATAACTTATATTCTTGGAGTTAATATTTGTCATGAAAAATAATTACACCTACATATAATCACTGACTTTTTGAAGATCTAAACAGTTGATATTGCTGAGATACTCCTAAATGTTTAATGTGTCAATTACATAGAACCTGGGTGACCAGATTTAAAATATATGCTTATGGTTTGTGTTACAAGTGAAAGTTAGAAATAAACTCTCTGGATCCTAAAGAAATGTGAGTAGAATTTCTTCTTTAATTGTGTGTGTGTGTGTGTGTGTGTGTGTGTGTGTGTGTGTGTGTGTGTGTGTGTGATGGGGCTTGAACTTGGAGCCTGGGAGCTGTCCCTCAGCTCTTGACTAGTGCTCTACTACTGAACCACACCTCCACTTCCAGTTTTCTGGTGGCTAATTGTGGATAAGAGTCTCGTGGATTTTCCTGCCTAGGCTGGTTTTGAACCAGGATCCTCAGATCTCAGCCCCTGAACAGCTAGGATTCCAGGCATGAGCCACCAGTACCCAAATTTTTTATTTAAGTAATTATACACAGGAGGTACCATTCAACAAATCAGTTCCTAAGCATAATGCTTCGTATGCAATGTCACCCCTGTCATCATTCTCCTCATCCTGACCCAACCCCTGCCCAATCAAACACTAACTCTGTAGGTTGCTGATCCTAGTAGATTGATCTCATAAGGTTGAAAAAAAAAAGAATGCGGGTAAAGTTTGTTTGGAAATGCTGGGTTAAACATAGGCTCATTTCCATCCACGCAAAGTGTCACTTCAGCATCTTTAGCGTGCAGATCTGCCTTCTGAAGAGAAGCTATAGGTCTTTTCCAACCTTATTTGACCCAGGCTCTTCCATCTCTAGCCAAGGCTGCAGAAGAAGCTAGGATGTGCCTTCTCCTGCCCGCACCTCGCAGGTGCTCAGTGCATTCCAGAAAAAACGGCAACATGATCTGCTTTCAATTGGATTTAAATTGTCTGTGATATTCTTTGCTTTAGACTTGTTCATGAGGATAAATATGCAAATAGAATCCGAAACACAAACTGCTTTCTTCTAACCAGCTCTCAGCCCACATATTCCGAAGTAGAGAATGAGTGAAAGAATCCATTCTGGCATGTTGACCTAGCGCAATGCTCTTCCTTAAAATAGGATGTTTTTTAAGTGATAGAAAAGAAGAGAGCAAAACAGCACTTTGGCACTTGGCATGTGCGTTCCTTTCAGCATCTATCTCCACAAGATCATTTCTCCCATTTCCAAACTGATAGCTGACTTTTTTTTTTTGGTTGATGTCTTGTTATTCAAATTTCTGTCCGCTTCTTCCAGCCTATTTGCTCTAACACTGAATTTTAAGCACCTCTAAAAATGCTTGATATGTTATTATTCTTTGCAGATAGCCTCTGAGAGCCAAGCCGAGAACATTAGGGAAGAAAGGAGGAATGAGGCTGGATCTTGGGCAGTGAAAACAAGCATTTCAAGGAGAGGGGAAGTCACTACGCGAAGAGAGACTCCCGAGTGAGCCATTCAGCATGAGAACTTACCGCTACTTCTTGCTGCTGTTTTGGGTCGGACAGCCCTACCCAACTTTCTCAGCTCCGTTATCTAAGAGGACTAGCGGTCTTCCGGCGAAGAAAAGGGCCCTGGAGCTCTCCGGAAGCAGCAAAAATGAGCTGAACCGTTCGAAAAGGAGCTGGATGTGGAATCAGTTCTTCCTCCTGGAGGAATACACTGGGTCGGATTATCAGTATGTGGGCAAGGTAAGGTTCCTGCGGGGTTTAGAAGCCTGAAGACGTGACTTCTAATAAATAGGCAAGAAAGTGGCGAACTCTTCCCCAGTACGGGAAGAATTGATGCTTATCGGGTGGAGACTCTTTTTTTTTTTTCTTCTTTCTCACTTGAGTAGCTTCGGGAAGAGGGCTAACAAAAAAAAAAAAAAGGGAAAATGAAATACCCACAAGCATCTACACAGGATTATCATAAATCCTTTAATTTTTTTTAACTTTAGCTTGAAAAAAATGAGGGCCCAGCTATTCTATAAAGTAAGGTGTATTAAAAATAGCAATGGGGTGATTATGCAGTATTAAAAGGAAAGTTCTTTTTCCTCATCTTGAAAGCAAACATTCTGAGTCCGAAGCCAAGTTCAAGTTAACTGTTTCTTTACTCTGCTACCCTGAACCAAAAAAAAAAAGCCTTCTGTGGGGAAAAAAAATCCATCCTGTGGTTTAATTTGTGGTTGTTGAGCTATTGTGTTAGCTAACAAAGTCCCAGCATTTTAAATTGTAGCAAAGCAGACAAAAGAGACAAATGACTATGTAAGGTGCTGATTGTAAGTAGCATCTGACCATTGTATTGACTTGGCCAGGAGGTGCTACTTATCACAAGCCTTGCAGATTGCTGGAGTTGAGCATAGAAGCAGTTTGGTTCAACTGTCATGGTGAGTGTCACTGAAATTGTATCCTCAGCTCACTTTTTGTTGCAGACTTTCTGCATACTGCCAAGACGTAAGAGGAAAAGGGAGGCATGCTTTTTTGCTGATTCGTACTTTGTAGACTCTACATGGCATAGATGGTATGGATAAGAAAAATAATTGTCACACATCCTATACCCACACAGACCAACAACGAACATAAAAATATACATGATATGGTGCTAGTATGTGGCTTGCTTGTTAAATACGAGTTTAAGCCTGGTATTATCAATAAAACATACTTATTGTTTCTTTTCTATGAATGATTCCCAAAAATATATATATATATATGATAAAAGAAATCCTCATGTATGATTTCAGCTATAATTTTAAAAGATATTGTAAAGATATTTAGACAGACAACAAAGATTTTGCAGGTTCCAAGGACTATGTGTCCAGACTGCAATGCGTGATCAAATCTCCTGGAATAATTGTGTGCAAATATTCTCTTTTAAGTATTTAAGTGACAGAAAGCCAACCACAGCTGAGGCTGAGGTAACCAGGCAGAGTTCCAAGGAAAGTGAATTATTAATGTAGAATAAAGTGGGAAAGGAAACATTCTATAAAGGGGTGATCATGACACAGGTCCCCAAAGAACCTCGCCACAAATTTCCTGTGAAAATCACACACTGTGTGACTACTGAGAAAAGATGGCTAACTTACTTGTACCTCTCTTCCGCCGTGAACTTTGCATAACACTCTGTTAATGGGGTGATAACTATCATCGAAAGCACTTTTTATAACACAAGTGGCATTTTTGCCATCAAAGATTAACATTTAAAAAGTGCTTCATCAAAATGTTGTTTTCCTATCTTCTGTTTCTGTTCTTTTTTCTTTCTTTCTGCTTTTCTTCTAAAACTGTGGTGCTATTTGACATCAACAATAGCACAGATTCTTTCAGAAAGTCCAGGGTATTTCAGGAGACTAGAAGCTGAAGCTACAGTAGGCAAAAAAAAAAAAAAAAACCATAAGAATCAATTTCACAATTGGAATTCATTCAAAGAGATAAAATTTCCAGGAGGCAAAAGTGCAAACTGAGCTCAAGAAGATCCAAAAATGTATCGGTACTGCCATTTGTTAGGTGGGGTTATGACCCTTTCCAGACTTCAGTTTCTTCATCTAGAAAAATTCACCAAGCAGGTAGTGCCTTGCTAGTGGAGGTACAGGGTTGTTTAAGTGAGACAAGCACCTAGTGCTGCCACGTGGTAGGTACCTCGAGGAGTAACTGATGTTGATGGAAAAACCCATCATAGATGTTCTATTAAATCAAGAAGCAATGGGCTGAGGCAGAATAACCTCCATTAGATCCCTGCTGACAGATCATGGAGTGTAGGGGTTGGTGTAGGGGTTGGTGGCAAAGTCCTCTCACAAGCCCAGATAAAATCAAACTCATTGGTTCTGGATACTTTTTATTGACAGCTACATAAATTTCCCTTTCTCCCCATTGTCTGCTCTTCTCTGTTAATTATAGTGATGGTTGTCATAGTCGATCACCATGTAGCCAGCAATCCTTACATTACATGTGTGAGAATTGTTCTGGAACTGCTGATCTGTTGATATAGTCTTTTTTTCAACTCCATAATTTAAAATGATCAACATTTAATTTCTTCTCTGTTTTTATTATCTTTAAGTAGTTGTCCAAAGGAGTTGCCATTCGACAAAGCAGTTTACAAATGCAACATTGTCTTAATCAATATCTCCCCTGTCAACATTCTCACCCATCCCTCCCAACCCAGCCCGTCACTCACTTTTCTTATGATTTTAGGATCTACAGGACCTTTTCCACTGCATTCTAACCCCCTTCTTCTCTTTATTTATCTGCCCCCTCCTTCCCTGGGTCCTATCCCACCCCGATCAAGTACTGGTTTCCTGGTGTTTATTTGGATTTAGTCTTTCTAAGGAATTATTCTGTTTTAGCCTGATGCCAGTGTCGCATACCTGTAATTACTAGCTACCCAGGAGGCTGAGATCTGAGGATCATGGTTCAAAAATTCCATGAGACTCTCATCTCCAATCAACCAGCAAAAAGCTGGAAGTGGAGATGTGGCTCAAGTAGTAAAACTTAAGTGAAAATGTCAATCAAGAGCACAAAGCCCTGAGTTCAAGCCCAGTGTTGGCATTATGTAGACTTAGTTTAGAGAAAGAAGGGAAAATTAGAGCTGTTCTGATTCATAGCAATTAGCTGATTCACCTTTAACTGACTTAGAATAAAAGAGATGTAACTTAAGGGCAAAAGAAAAATTATACTCAAGCCAAAGTTATCTCAGTTTATGAGATCTTTTTCACAGTGGCCTTGGGCTAAGAGTAATACCCAGGTGATCCATGGATTAGCTAAGCTCAAACAACTTAATAATTATTTCGGTCCTAATAACTTAGAAACCATTTTTAATATACTTAAATTGGCAAAAAAATATATATATTTTCTCTTTATCCCCCATTACTTACCAATGCCATGTGTGCATACAAGAAGTATGGTGCAATTTCTCAATCATATTCCCACCCCACCCCACCCCCGTTTCCTTTCCACACTGATTTTTGCACTGCCAGGATTTTGTTTTCTTAACCTCAGTCACTGTGGAAAGCTGTTGAGAATGACATCATCAAAGAAATAGAGCGCCACCTGCTGCAGAATCTATGAACTCCCTTGAACTAGGAAATCACCAGTGGCTGAGGGAAGTCGAACGTTGCTGGTATATCTTGGGAAATTTTAAACTATTTTCTAGGAGTCTCTTGCTGGACCCCAGGCTGCTCTGGAAGCCACAGAACTGTATCTGGGTTGGCATATAAGCTACTTCTACTAAGTGACACTCTAGCCTACCATGCTTGCCTCCACTTGAAAAGATTGATCATTTCAGCCCATGGAAGGACAGAAGCATACAATGAGGAAAAGTAACTTAGTTGAGCAGATCGTGCATAGAGTTAAAGAGACTGCTGTGAAATGCTTGAGTTTAAGCAACATCCCTAAGAGTTTGTTAAAATTAGGCCCCACCCAGATCTCTCTCAAACCTCCTTTCCTCCCTCCCTCCCTCTCTCTCTCTCTCTGGCATTTTGCTACTTGAGCCAAAATTTGAATTGTGGCTTTTTGCTGGCTAATTAGAAATAAGAGCCTTACGGATTTTCTAGCTAGAGTTATCTTTCAACCGTCATCCTCAGATCTCAGCCTCCTTAGTAGCTAGAATTACAGGCATGAGACACCGGTATCCAGCTCACCCAGGTCTTCTCCAATCAGAATCAGCATTTTAACCAGATTTTCCAGTGAACTCTGGACAGATTAAAATTTGAGAAATGTTGAAAGGAGGAGGCAACAATGCTTGATAAGAAATGCACTCATTATCTTGCCCATGTAATTGTAACCCCTCTGTATGGTATTTTCACAATAAAAAAAAAAAAAAAGAGTTTAATCTGAGTTTTACCTTTCCAGAGATTCTTAGTTGGTTTTTAATCAAGTACTGATTATGGTAATACATTGCAAAATTCAAGAGCAATAGTGCCAATCACAATAACCTCAAATAACTAGTTCAGTGTTAAAATGAGCAATCACAACGTACTAGAGTTGGAGGTTCAGCAGAGCTTACTAGAGGAGGTGATGGTGCCAGAACCCATCTCAAAGCCGAGCACATGTCAGCTTACAGGACCAAGCAAGAATTCCCAGAACATCCCAGGTAATTTGATGCAGAACTCAAAAGAGAGAAAGCCAGGGCTGGGAAGTTGGCTCAGTGGTAGAGCGCTTGCCTTGCATGCCTGAGGCCCTGGGTTCGATTCCTCAGCACCACATAAGCAAAAAAGAAAAAAGCCGGAAGTGGCGCTGTGGCTCAAGTGGTAGAGCGCTAGCCTTGAGCTGAAGAGCTGAGGGACAGCGCCCAGGCCCAGAGTTCAGGCCCCACGACGGGACCAAAAAAAAAGAAAAAAAAAAAAAAAAAGAGAGAAAGCCAGAGGTCCAAAGAATTCAGAGACATAAAGGTTGAACTCCCAGGAAAGCGAAGGAGTCTTTAATGACACAGGAAGCACAAAATGCTGAAGGGAAGTGCATTTGCTTTTGGATAGACTGTGCTCGAGTTCTCTCTGGCTTAGGTAAGCTTAATGGGGAAATGGGAGAAAAACATTGACATACTGCCTTTCTCAGAAATCCCTCTACCCCTCCAGATGGCTTTACATAATACAGCAATTCCTTGGCGATTGTTCATACAGTCTTAAGATTACATTTCATACTAAAAGACAATTGGTAGCTATAGATATGGATTTGACTTTAAGATGAATATATTGAAGTCTCAGGAGTAAGCCTAACTTCAG